CAGCCCGCAGCCCGCGGAACTCGGGGGATGGGACGCGACGGGCCCGTTACCTAGAGCCGCGGTTTGCGGCTGCTGTCGGCGCGCGTGTCTCCGGGTCGCCGGGCTGTCGTCCGCCCCTGCGCGCTCGCACCTACCGGGTGCGGGCCTGGAGCTTCCGCAAGGTCTCCAGGATCCCCCAGGCCGGGAGGCCCTGCACCTTCCTGGATGCCACCGTCGCGCTCCACCCCCCACCCCCCTTCCAGGTCTCGGGACGTGGGGGGCTGCCGCGGTCTCCCGGTTCCCTATCCCGCCTAGGAGCAGAGACGCAAGCAGTGACAGATACTCCGCCCCTCCTATCCTCTCTGAAATCCTCCCTCGTTGGAGGCCCAGCTTCCCCCGCTGACCCGCAGGTGACCCCGGGACCGGAGTCCCCGCATCAGGTTCCCCATCTGCTCCTGGAAGGGTCTGTTCTCGCTGAAATACATATCAGGGCCCTTGTGCTCAGACTGCAGACTCGCCGGACGCTTTTTCCCTCCGATCCTACTCTGGTCCTACAAAGACGCTTTCTAGAACAGAGAGTAGCTGCCTTGGGAAAATGCCAAAGAGCAGGGGGCAACTGATTTGCCTGAGGTCACGTTACTCAGGTTTAATAAAACCAGAGGACCCTGAACCCGCCATGACTAGGCAAATCAGCTCCCCTCCTTGTCCCTCTTCCACCATCCAGGCAGGTTCTACCTTTCCTCCACGACTCTGCAGAGTTGACAAGGGCGTAGCTGGAACCGACGTCCTTCAAGCCTTCCTGCCACCGAAGTCAGATCTTCACTTCCTCTCCCTGGTAATGTAGAGAATTAAACACAGTCCTGTAGGTCATTTGGTTGCAGGGTTGGCGCAGGAAAGATCCTGCTGGTGCCTGCAAGATTGTTAGGTTGAACAACCAAGAAGTAACCCTACGGCCGGAAGGAGTTGGGGAGTTTCATGCCCTCCAGGCTTCCACTGTCAGTCTGTCAGGCGAGTAGTCTGGGAGCTGTGTGCAAGGCTGAATTAAGAGCCCCCTCTCTCATTCTCTCTCTCTCTCTTTCCTGCTCCCCCCCCCCAGATCAAAGATGCTGGGGAGAAGTTCAAGCCCAGGTTCCAGAAAGCCCATCATGCAGAAATCTGAAAGGGAAAGGCATTGCTACAGCAGGTGGCCCTGGTGGTCGTTTTCACACTGAACACAAAGTTTGCAGCGGGGCATGGATGTTCCTGAATCTCTTTTCCTCATATTTGAGCTTGGAAGGATCTGGCTTCGAATCCTGGACCTGCCTGAGGCTCTGCATCGCCAAGTTTCCTAGTCTTCCTGAGCTTCAACCAGAAAAGCTGACACTTCTCCACCCCCTCTCCCACCCTGACCGTCTCCCCCTCCTTCCCCTAGCACAAGAACAGGAACCCACACACAGCTCTGAGTCCAGCCTGGATGGCCAGAAGACAACTGAGGCTTTCCCTGTGAGGAGGGGACACCCGTGGCACGTGCTGCCAGGCTGTGCCCCTCATAGGACCACCCTGCCCAGCCCGCCCTCTCTCTGCTCAGTCGGGTGCCCTCAGGAACTGGGATAGATGTCCCAGACGCCTTGATCACACAGTGAGAAATGTGCAAACTTCTATAGCACTGCTGTAGGAAGCTCGCAGCGCTGAAGCTGGTGGTGGCCTCTGCCTCAACCAGGCATTCTAAGCTTCCCATCTGCCTCATTAAGTCAAGACTTCTCAAGGACCTCACAGTCGGTCCTTCAAGTCCCAAGAGACCAAATCAACAAACAGGCCCTCTCCGGTGGGACACTTCCTGGGAAAGCCCCACAATGGGCCCCCAATCCTCTGGGAGCCCCCCTGGGCAGCCAGACTGCTTGGCAGTGGTGCCCAGGCTGAAGAGGACATAGGATAGGGCAGGGACTGGCTGCTCATGCCCAGAGTGAAGGTGATTCCCAGGATCCAGCCGCAACTAAGGCGCCTGTGCCTAGCCTGGGCCTGGTGGAGAAGAACATGGATCCCTTCGACCTAGACGGAGGAAAGGATGTTTTAGAAGCACTCCGGTGCCCTTCCTACCTTGCCTCACCCACCTCTTATCCCCGCATATTCAGAAGCCTGTGCACACAGTCCCACTGTGTCATAAAATATTTTATTGGAAAAAAGTCACCGTCTTCGCAAGAAGGGGGTAGGGGCCCCAGCCACGTCGGGAAGACCCAGCCTCTGGGTTGAGCCGACAGGTCGCCTGGGCGCTGTCGCCGGCGTGGTGGCCTTCACCTAGCCGCCAGTCCCGACTCCCGGAAGCGGTTGTGTGCACGGGGCGTCCACCCGGAGGGCAGCCCCGAGGCGGGTGGAGTGCAGGCGAGGAGAGGGGGCGTGAGTGCTCATGGAGCGCCGGGCGCCGCGGCTGTGGCGGAGACGAGTAGCTTCCACTACACGAGTCCCCCAGGTCAGGGCCCAGAAGCGCGCTGGGGCCTGGGTTTGGCTTTAGGGTCTGTGTCCTCCCTTGTCTCGCCCCCAGTTGTCCGCATTCAAGGTCATAATAAAACGTTTAGAAAACAAACGTCGTGGACACGGAAGGGCCAGCTCGCTGGTTCCCGCGGGTTGAGGGGGCCGCGGGCGGCGCAGGCGTCGCGGGCGTCCGGAGCGCCCCGGCCCGCACCCTGTGCGGTGCTCAGTCCTCGTGGCTCCTGTCGCTGGGCTCCCCCGGCACCTCCGCCGGCTTCTCTGCCTCCTTGCCGCGCTCCTGCTCCGTGAGCTGCTCGCTTGTGGGAATTGAGTTCTTCTTGGGTCGCCCCTTGGGCTTGGTGGGGGACTCCAGGCCGCCTCCCTGCAGCACCTGCACGGGGTGGAGGACCGGCAGCACCGAAGTGAGACGGGATGTTCGCTGGGGACCCCCTGCCCTTCGACCAGGCAGGACTGAAGGGTCCGCCCAGGCCATCTGAGGCCACACCCAGCCTCGGGGAAATGGCAGCCATTTGAGTGCTCTGGGGAGAGGTGGCCCCGAGGCCTGGCCGAGGGGCTTAAGACGGCCAGGAGGCTTGAAGGGACGGCGCAGCAGGAAGGAATGTTAGCTCAGTCAGGACGCCCAGAGGGACAGAAAGGAGAGGGTCCCGCGAGGCTGGGCAGAAGTCGCGCGGGGTAAAGGGGAGGGCTACTCTGCAGGGCCCAGGGAGTCCAGAGCGGAGGCTGCCGGGTATACTCACTATTTTCTTCCACTTCATCCTCCGATTTTGGTACCACGTCTTCACCTGCAGCTGGCTCAGGCCCAGGGACTCAGCAAGATCTATCCTGGAAAGAGTAGGGTGCATCTTCAGCAGGGCAGGTGACACCCTCCCGTGCCCGTGGCCCAGCCTGGCCCCGCACTACCTGTCAGGCGTGGAGAGGTACTTCTGCTTTTCGAAGCGTTTCTCCAGGCCCATCAACTGCAGCTCGGTGAACACCGTGCGGCTCCGGCGCCCCTTCTTGGCCTTGGTGCCCGGCTCCCCGGGGCCCGCCGCCTCCAGCTTCCCGAGAAGCTGCAGCTCCAGCGGCAGGTGCGGTGCGCCCGCGGCCCCGGGCAGCCCGGGCCCCGAGGCCAGCAGCGCGGAGCTCAGCCCCGAGCAGCCGAGCGGCGCCAGCGGGAACTTGAACACAGCCGCCTGCTCCGCCTTCAGCACGGCTACGAGGAAAGAGAACGGGGAGCCGGTGAGCTGGGCCGCGTTCCTCCGCCGCCGCCCGGTGAGCTGCGGGATCATCGCGCTCGCTCGGCGCCGCCCGCTCAAGGCCTCCACACAGCCGCTTGGCGCAGGATGTGTGCCACGCGCCGAGGGCGACCCTCCTCGAGGGGTCCCCAGAATCCGGGAAAGGAGATTGCTCCCACCCCGCGCTCGGCCCTGTAGTTCCCCAAGCCCCGGCCGTCTCTGGGATTTTGGGGTTCTCCATGATCAAGTTTGCAGCTCCAAGAAGCGCGGAGTGTGTCTTTCGTGGAAAGGGGAACCCGAGAAGAAACGGCAGCTTCCAGGAAGATGGGCGTCCGCCCTAACCAAGTCTGCATCGGTGCATTAGAAAAAGAGCACGAACGGCATGTGCACATTTGCTCTTCTCGTGGCAAGACAGCCACGCGGCGGCCAGCGGCGGGGGCGTCATCTGGGCTGGGGTTGGGTGCTTCCGGAAATGCCAAAGCATCCTGCGAACCCGGAAACTGTTGCTACCGTTTTCTCGGTTCAGATGCTTCCCCGTGAAGACGTTTCCATTTTCGTTAGCCCTAAAATTATTTTTTGCCCGCTTCAAACGAATTATTAGCAACGGAACAGACGCAGGTGAAAGGCAGGCGAGACGCTTGTCCCAGATGGTCTTAAAAGAGCAACCCGCCTTGCCGCCCCGGTCGGGAGATCCCTGGTTGGGTGGAGACGGGGCGACGGGTGCGGAAAGGCGACTGGCTGGGCAAGTGTCCCAGCTGGAGTGTTGGGGCCTCCCCTCTCCCGCAGACCTCTCGCTGAGAGCGAGCCCTAGCCCCGCTGAAGTCGGAAAGGGCCGACCAAAGTGCGGGTAAATGTGGGGTTAGGATCGACTAGGGGAAGGGAGCCTTAGGGAAACGGTGAGAGATAGGAGGCAGACCAAGTGCAGCAAGGGAGGCCACCCGCCGAGTGGAGGGCGAAACGGAGAGAGGCAGGCAAGGAGGGACAGGAGAGGCAAAGGAGGAACGGGGTGCGACGGAGGAGGCACCGCAAGGCAGGCAGGCCCCGCCAAGGAAGAAGGAGAAAGCGGAGAGGCTGACAAGGTTTGAGCAGGCGGCTCAAATCCCTCAGAGGCCCAGCCGACCTGAGAGCGGGAGGGACAGCCAGGCAGGGGCTCGTAGTCAGGCCTCCTGCCCCCAGGCGAGGCCCAGGCAGGTCTGCCCTGCCCGGAGGCCATGCTCGTCGCCCGCTGGAGCGCACCGGACTCTGGGAGGCTCCACGCGGCTCGGGCCAGCGTCGGCACCAGTTCTTGGGGACGCAGGCCTCTTCCCCAGAGGTCCAGGCTTCCCTGGCTGGGCAGCCACGGCTACTCTCGACCAGTCCTCTGTGGCGAAGCCCAAGCGCCGCGGCCTGAGGTCACTTTCACCCGCAGCCCGGTCGTGCGCCCGCGACGGGGATGCGAGCTCAGGATGCCCGGGCTAGAGGCCAAAGGACAGCCATGGAGCAAAGCGAGCGTCTCCCCGGCCCGCGGGTACGAGGCCTGGCCCCTGCAAGGCCTGGCGCCTGCCCCCTCCGCTTCTCGGCTGGAGCGTGCCGAGACGGGTACCAGAGGCGGTGCGCCTGGAAAGCTCCCGGGACGGCGCCGGGGCGAGGGGATGGGTCTCGGGGCGCCCCACGGGGCGGTCCTCGCGCTCCCGCCGAGCCCGGCCCGCGGTCCCGCGGCCTCGCACCTACCCAGGTGGCTGTGGAAGGGCCGCGCCGCCAGCAGCGCCTGCACGCC